AGCCCCACAACCTACCCCCCCCAAAAAAAAGAAGACAAAGAAGAAAGCAATAGAAGACCTGGAAGATGGGTGGACTGCTTGTGTCCACAGTTTAGCAGAATTAATATCATAGAATTGCCTCTATTCCTGAAAGCAATCAGCGAATTCTATGCAGTCCACATCAAATTTATGATGTCATTCTTCACAAGAATGGAAAAATTAATTCTAAAGTTAATTTGGAAATACAAATGATCCTAAAGAGCCACTTACACAGTACTGAGTTACTGGTGTGGTACTGGCAAGAGATATTCATGCTGATCAATGGAATAGAAGATCCAGCTGTGACTATCGGAGATTTGACCAAGACCCCCATACTTTATCAAATGGTGTGAAGTCTGGATATGCACATGTGGAAGATGAAAACTAGATCCTTTTCTCTCTCCCTCACCCTGTACAAAAATAAGTTCCAAACCGATCAAGTATTTTAATATAATACCAGAAATCTTGCAACTGTTAGAGGAAACAGAAAAACCCTGGAAGTTACAGGCATAAGTAAAATCTCCAAAGAGAACTCCAAATGCTTGGAAAATAAGAACAAGAGTGAAAAGTGTGGATGTATTGCCTTAGAAAAGATTCCACAGCGGGGTGCTGGTGGCTCATGCCTGTCATCCTAGATACTCAGGAGGCTGAGATCTGAGGATCGTGGTTCCAAGCCAGCCCAGACAAGAAGGTTGATGAGACTCTTATCTCCAATTGCTTACCAAAAAGCTGGAAGTGGTGCTGACGCTCAAGCAATAGAGTGCTAGCCTTGAGCACAAAAGCTCAGGGACAGTGCCCAGGCTCTGAGTTCAAGCCCCAGGACCAGCAAAAGAGAGAGGGGAAAAAAGGTTTCTAAATGGAAATGAAACAATTACCAGACTCAGAAACCTACAGAATGAAAGAAAACCTTTGTCAGTCATTCCTTGTATAAGAGATTAAGATACAGTATAAGTAAAGAGCTCCAAAAATGAGAGGTAAAAGAACAAATAATAAAATCCATGAATGGGGGTAAACAGATATTTTTCAGAAGGAGGAATACGAATGGCTCATAAATACATGGAAAAAATACTCAATATCCTTAGTCCTGAGGGCAATGCAAATCAAAACTACACTGAGATTCCTTCTTACTCCGGTCAGAATGGCAATCCTCAAGAAACAAAACCAATGCTGGAGAACGTGCAGGGGCAGAAGGACCTCTGGGGACATAAGGTAAAGCAACCACTATGGCTGCCTGTGTGGAGATTCCTTTCTTGCTTTTCCACTTTGGGTCATGTGCCTGAATGAACATAAGTCAGCACGTGACAGAGAGTCCTGCTTCACATCTATGTTGCTCATGACTATTCACAACTGCTAAAAGATGGAATCTGCCTAAATATGGAATCCATCAGCTGGCGAATGGATAAAGGAAATCAAGCCATAAAGAAGAATAAGATGTGTCATAATCATAAGGCAAATGTATGGAACTAAGTGTGAGGGAGGCAAATATCACACATTCTCTCTCACATGAAGAATCAAAGCTTTAAAAAGGAGTGACAGGAAGCTGGGCGCCAGTGGCTCAAGCCTGTGATCCCAGCTACTCAGGAGGCTGAGAGCTGAAGATCACAGTTCAAGGCCAACCTGGGCATGAGACTCATATCTCCAGTTAACTACCAGAAAAGATGTAAATGAAGCTGTAGCTCAAGTGGTAGAGTGCTAACTTCAGCACAAAAGCTCAGTGACAGTGCCCCAGCCCTGAGTTGGTATGTATGCTCTCTCTCTCTCTCACACACATACACACACACACACACACACACACACACACACACACACACACACACTCTCCTCCAGGGAAAGGAGGCATACATATTGTCACATATGAACACACCTGGACACACAAGGCACGCACACACAATGAACACACATATGTGCACGCCTGCACAAACACCTTCATGCAAAACATGGACTGACACACATACATGTACAAACACACATGCATAACAGACATGCCTATACACACCACACAGAAACATGCTTGTGCATGTTCACATATATGTGCAAGACACACATGCACACAGACATGCCCACCTACGCACAAATGCACGAATGCACTCACATATAAATACCACACACAGGGACACATATGCACACATGCACACCACTCACCTGTATGCACACACACCACATTCACACACAGTCTTGACTATTACTCATGAATATGTGTCCCCAAATATGCACATATAAGCACACATGCACACATGTACCTGCAAACCTAAACATGTTTGTGCACAGAAGATCCACACATGCACATACTCATGAACACACAAAACCACACACATACACATACCTGTGCACCAGCACACATGCATGCAGGTGCACAGGTGCAACACAAGGAGACACACTGCACACAACCACACAGATACACATTCGCCCCCCATATGCAGGAATGCACACACCTATACACATACATGAACACACAGCCACAGATACATGCATACATGTACACATTCGCATGTATATGTGATCGTGGGCACATACACATCCACACACATGCTCACATGAATTTGCACTCACATGGTCAGATGCTTATACACACACACACGAGGTGCACACACATCAATGCCCAGGCCATACACATACATGCACACACATGCACATACATACACATACATGCACATACACTTGCTCCCCCACCCCAGCTGTATGTGCTCAGCTGAACGAAACTCAGAGTTCATAAGGTCCTCTCCTCCCTTATTTCAGCCCGGCAAGATGCTGGGCAGAGCCCTCTGCTGAGTCTGCAAGTAAAGGATGTGGCTTTAAGCCCTTAAGTCTATGGTAATGTTTTATGCACAGATTCTAATACATCCTTTTCAAATTTGAGGTGTGTGTGTGTGTGTGTGTGTGTGTGTGTGTGTGTGCGCGCGCGCATGCCCATCAATACTGGGACTTGAACTCAGAGCCTGGCTGCTATCCTCTTTGCTTCTTCACTCAAGCCTGATGCTCTCCCATTGAGGTCACAGATCCACTTCTGGTTTCTTGTTGTTTAACTGGAGGTAAGACACTCATGGGCTTTCCTGCCTAGGCTGGCTTTGAACCACACTCCCGATCTCAGCCTCCTCGGGAGCAAGGATTCTGGGCATGAGCCATGGGCACCTGGTCACATTGCTTCATTCCTCACCCAGTCTTCATGCCCAGAGCTGTCTGTTCACATGTCTAACATTTCCCTAACTAGACTGTTTCTGTTTTGTCTCTGTCTTGCTGGCGTCACTCTCAGGGCCGGCCTCTGCTGGCTCTTCTGCTAGAAACTGGTCTCCATGATAAGACTGGATGATCCCTGAGGGCAGGGAACAGATGGTCTGCTCTCAGGGTCAGGGTTATTGTGAGGACAAGAAAAGGGTTTCTGGTCAACTAGCCTGAAGTGAAGTGAAGTTCATCCATCATCTACCCACCGATCATCCATCCATTCATCCATCCATCATCCACCCACCCATCATCCATCCATTCATCCATCTATCATCCACTCACCCATCATCCATCCATCTATCATCTATCCATCATCCATCCACCCATAATCCATCCATCCATCCATCCATCCATCCATCTATCCATCCATCCATCCATCTATCCATCCAAATACCCACCCATCATCCATCTATCATCCACATAGGATTTCAACATCCATCCATCATCCATCTACCCATCATCCACATTGTATTTCAAAATCTACCCATTATCCACCATCACCCATGCATCCACCTACCCATCCATCATCCACATAGGCTTTCAACATTCATCTATCCATCTACCTATGCATCCATCATCCATCCATCCATCAATCATCCATCCACCCATCCATCCATCAATCATCCACCCATCATCCATTTGCCCATCTATCCATCCACATAGGCTTTCAGCTCCATCTATTCATCTACTTATTCATCCATCATCCATCTATCCATCCATCTACACAGGTTTTCAACATTCATCAATCATCCAGCCACCCATCATCCATCCATCCATCCATCCACCCATCCATCATCTATCCTTTACCCATCCATCCACAGAGGCTTTCAACACTGGTCCATTCATCTTTAACATATAAACTAAGCATCCAGCCTTGCTCCACCTACCCACCCATCTATCCATCCATCCATCCATCCATCCATCCATCCATCCATCCATCCATTCATCTCTGCAGTCTTCCTATCCAAGTTTGATGAATACATTTTCTACACTTCTCTCAGTCACTGGAAATGCAAAAACAAAAAACAAACAGACCAAAAGACACACCCATTTCTGTCCTTAGGAGCTTATATTTCATAGGTAGACACACTAACACCCCATTCTCCATGGAGCCCCCAGAGATCTGCCTGGTGTGATTTGGGGCGTGGCTTTTCTGACAGTACTCAGCTCAGCAAGAGCATTGTTCATGCCACACCCCAGCCCCCAAACCTTCATGTCAGCACCCCGAAAGGACTCAGTATGCTTGGAACCCCATTTTCTCCCTAGCACCAGTCTGTCCTTCCTTCCTGGCTGAGCTATTCTACCTCGGAGAGGGCCAGGGACTGTCGAGAAGTCAAGAAGAGCAGGTCTAGGAGCAGCGGTTTCAGTACTGACAAGAGAAAAGTAAGGTATGCAGAGAAGAGAGATGTGGGACATGGCCACACAGTAAATTAGTGGCTGCATCTGGGCTAGAACGCTGAATGCCTTCGACTAAGCTTCTGATAAAGCAGACATACTTGTCTCCCAGCCCTCTGGTGTGTGTGTGTGTGTGTGTGTGTGTGTGTGTGTGTGTGTGTGTGTGTGTGTGTGTGTGTGTGTGTGTGTGTGTGTGTGTGTGTGTGTGCTGTATTTCTTGGGATCCTAGGAGGCACAACCCATAAGACTGGACCCAACCACTGATCATTCTCCCACACCTGCTTTCTTCTGGCCCTCTCTCTGCGTTCCCCTCTCCTCTTTCTGGGATTCAGTTTGATTTCCTCAGCTTGGGATGGGGCAAGGCCTACCTGGCGTGCGCGATGGCCGCCACCCACTCGTCACAGTCCTTGGCATCCTCTGTCCTCAGCTCCAAGGCCTTCTGGTTCTCATGGCTGAAGTTCACGGTGAAGTAATGCTGCACCAAGAGGAAGAAACGGCTGGTTACCAGGTCAGCTGAGAGCAAGCCGCGGCGGTGGCTGGCTGGGTCAGGCCCACCAGCCTGCCCCTCCAGTTAGCAGTTTCAGACTCTCCATTCATTGGCTTCTGTGCCAGGCTCCGGCGGCTCACGCCTGTCGTCCAGTTACTCAGGAGGCTGAGATCCTGAGGATCGTGGTTCGAAGCCAGCTCAGGCAGAAAAGTCTATGTGACTCTCATCTCTAAGGAACCACCAAAAAGCTGAAAGCGGAGCTGTGGCTCAAGCTGTAGAGCACCAGCCTTGAGTGAAAAAGCTAACGGACAGCATCCATGTCCTGAGTTCCAAGTCCCACGACTGGCATAATAATAATAAAAGGTTTTTATACAGTACAAGAAAACCCATGCTTAGGTGGTAACAAGGAAGGAAACGTAAAAAAAAAAAGTTTTATTTTTTGTGGGCCTCACAGTATTCTCTCTAATGTCTCTTTGTGTTGTTGATCTGAATTAAGCAACCCCAAACCTCTGTGAACACAAGACATTTAGTAAGCACCATGTGTTTGCTTGAATTGATGCAATACGGTCACTGCCATATTAGAAGTAAGCAAAGGGACTCTCAGGGGTGGAAAGAAAGCCACTGGGCTGAGGCAGCCTGGAGCAATCAAGGAGGGCTTCCTGGAGGCCAAGGCATGGGACAGGCAGATCTGTGTGTGCAAGGGTGTGTGTGTGTGTGTGTGTGTGTGTGTGTGTGGGTACTGGGGCTTGAACTCAGAACCTGGGTGCTGTCCCTTAGCTTTTCCTCTCAAGGGGGGGGTCCTCTAATCCTTGAGCCACAGCTTCACTTCCAACTTTTTGCTGGCTCATCGGAGATGAGTCTCATGGATTTTTCTGCCTGGGCTGGCTTTGAACACTGCTCCTCAGATCTCAGCCTCCTGAGTAATGACAGGCATGAGCCCCTGGCAGGTTTTAAGGGCGGGGTGGGAATGGGGCAGAGGAGGGCTGGAGAGCTCAGAGGAAGACCAGATGCCGCCATGGGTGGGGGCCTCAGACTGGACAATCGGAGGGTGCCCCGAGTGCTGGGCACGGGGTGCGAATGAATTTAACTGTATTTGTTTTTTAGTTGTCATTCTAGGTGGCAGCGGAGGTATGTGTGTGAGACACACACACACACACACACACACACACACACACCATCAGTGTCTCTCCGTGTTTCCTAGGAAACAGATAATGAGCCCGAGAAGGAAATGCCAGCTGCAGCCTCACAGAGCTGAACCTGGGGGCCCCGGTGGGCACTGTGCCCTGTGGGAAGAGGAAGCAGGTAAATCCAAGTGGAGGTTGGGCACCAGTAACTCACGCCTTAATCCCAGCCACTCAGGAGGCTAAGACCCGAGGATCACAGTTCAAAGCCAGCCCGCGCAGACAAATCAGGGAGACTCTCATCTCCAAGAAGCCAGCAAAGAAAAAAATGCCAGAGCACTGGCCTTGAATGAAAAAGCCAAGGGAGAGTCTGAGGTCCTGAGTTCAAGTCCCAGTCCTCAAAAATGAAACAAAACCAACCAAACAAAACCTGAGCAGAGTGGACGCACACTCATCTCCTGCGATGTCTTTTCTCCCATGTCCCCCAAGTGATCTAGGTGCTCGATGCTTCGCAGCCTACAGGTCCAGTGATCAGAGAAGTCAACCTGCTTACCTAAGGCCACACAGCAGGAAAGAACTGACCCACAGCTGGACCAAGCTGGCTGACTGCCATGCTTGGCGACCTGTAGGTTGATCTTCTCTGCCCTGGGCCTCCCTTCCTCTCTCCCTCCCAGAAACAGCTTCTCACCTGCCTGGTCCTGTTTAAAGAGACCAAAAGGCACCCCTATTGAGAATCTAACCAGGAAGAAACAAGCCAGGCCAATACCTGAACCTGGCCATCAGAAACCCTGGCTTTCTTCCCCACAGTCCAGTAATGGACTGCTAACTTGAAAAACTTTCTTCATTCTTTTTCTGTCAGCCCATAACTAGCTGGGGGTCCCTCTGTCTGTCCATTTGGGCCTGAAGTGGCCTCACTGTGTCTGCTTGATCTTCCTCTGACGACAGTCCTGGGGTTTGAACTCTGGGCCAGGGTGCTGTCCATAAGCTTTTTCTCTCAAGGTGAAGCACTTTACCACTTGAGCCATACCTCCACTTATGGCTTTTTTTTTTTTGTCGGTCGTGGGGCTTGAACTCTGGGCCTGAGTGCTGTCCCTCAGCTCTTCAGCTCAAGGTGAGCACTCTACCACTTGAGCTACAGCGCCACTTCTGGTTTTCTGGTGGTTTATTGGAGATAGGAGTCTCACAGTCTTTCCTGCCCGGGCTGGCTTTGAACCGCGATCCTCAGATCTCAGCCTCCTGAGTAGCTAGGATTACAGGCGTGAGCCACCAGCACCCGGCTTTCTGGCTTTTTTTTTTTTTTTGGTGTTCTTAATGGGAAATAAGAGTCTTACAGACTTTTCCTGCCAGGATGGCTTTGAACCACCATCCTTACATCTCAGCTTCCTGAGTGGCTGGGATTACAGGCATCAGCGACCGGGCATATCTTTCTGGCAGTGTTTGTACCGTGGCATGCCTGTGATTGTCAATAACCAGCAGTGCCCAGACTTGGACTGGAGACGTTAGTGTACAGTGGTTGACTTAATGAATGACGAATCAGTCATTCAGGTAAAGAGAAAAAGGTGTGAAAGCTTGGTTCCGCACGCATTTGTGGGGACCACTGCTTGAACTCACTGACTCTTACTCTTAGCTTTCTCACTCACAGATGGTGCTCTACCACTTGAGCCATGCTTCCAGCCCAGTTTTTCATGGGTTAACTGGAGATAAGGGTCTCACAGACTTTTCTGCCCCAGTTGGCTTCAAATTGCGACCCTCAGATCTCAGCCTTCGGAGTGGCTAGGGTGAGAAGCGCGAGCCACTTGTGCCTGTGTTTTGGATCACAGCAACTTTGGACAGGGACTTTGTGTATTTGAGGACTCCGGGAGGGGGCACAATCTTCGACGTCATTTGATGGCCCTTTCTCCATCTGCAGAAAGGGTACAAGAGGGCTTCCTCCTTCCTAGACAGCTGAGAGCGCCAATTGGAACAAGGCTGGCACCAGACAGCAAGCAAACCCGTAATGCACGCGTGCTGTGTTTTTAATTTTTCCTCAACTTCCTTAGAACTTTTGAACTTGCCTCTCCCTGGCAGCTTTGATTGGCCACCCTGGCTGTGCCTGTGGCTGCTGGATAAAAACATAGTCTGAACTGGTACTTAGCCAAGGAGTTCAGGACAGTTTGGAGCAGCAAGCTGGCGGTTCAGTGACTGTAAGGCCTGCTACTCAGGAGGCTGAGACCCTGAGGATGGAGGTTCCAAGCCAGCTGAGCAGGAAAGTCTGTGGGATCCTTATCTCCAATCAGTCAGCACAAAAGCTGGACTGGAGGCACGGCTCAAGCGGTAGAGCACCAGCCTGGAGGGAAAGTGGCTCTTAGATCCTGAGTTCGAGCTCTAGCACGGGCACAGGCTTGTAGTGGCTTCTCTGTGCCAAACTTCCGGCCCTGAGTTTTCAAACCTGCATCTTATGGTGCTATATAAGGACTCCTGCTTTGTCCCCAAGCTGTCCCAAGACCCTGTCTGGTTTCCTGGTCTCCATGTGGATCTAATCTAGGTGTCCCCCTGACCTGCACACCCTGCCTGGCCCACGGAAAGCGGGTGGGTGTGTGGGGACTAAGGGAGTCTCCGTGATACCTCTCAGAGCTCAAAAGCTTATGAAATAGCAGGGCGTGGGCCAGCCACTATAAGACGGATTGCTAAGGATCACAGTTTGAGGCTGGCCAAGGCCAACAAATCTGTGGGATTCTTATTGGTCAACTAACCAGCAGAAAGCCAGAAACAGAGGTGTGGCTCAAATGGTAGAGCACCACCAGCCTTTGAGCAATAAAGCTAAGGAACAGCGTCCAGGCCCTGAGTTCAAGCCTCGATACCAGCACTACAACAAAACCAAACAATAACCATGGAAAAGTTAGCACAGCCACATAAATGATCTACTCTGTAGCTGTAAACAAACAAATAAACCAACCATGAGGACAAATAATATACTCACAATCACCCCGCTATATAGCTGAGAAACGAAGGCATAGAATAGTAATGACAGTATGACTATGCGTATGATACCTATGCTCGCATCATAAGCATGAGGGTGGATTTGCGTTTTCACAGGGCTTGTGACAGGGTCTCATAATAACTTTCTCCAGACTGGGTTATTTGGTTTTTTTTTTTTTTTGAACCACAGTCCTCCTATCTGTGACTTCCTGTGGAGGTAGGATAGCAGGTGCACACAACCACACCTGGCTGGTTTGTTGAGATGGAGTTTCAAGAACTTTTTGGGAGCCTTCCTCCTACTCCCCACCTCTTAAGTGGCCAGGATTACAGGTGTGCACCATCCTACCTGGCTCCATCTTATCTTCAAGTCCGGGCTCGGCATTTCAGTGTCGATGTTGTTGGCCTGCCCTGGACCTGGGAGACCAGGATCATAGCTTTCTTTTTTTTGGGGGGGCGGGGTCCGGTCGTGGGGCCTGAACTCTGGGCCTGGGTGCTGTCCCTCATCTCTTCAGCTCAAGACTAGTGCTCTACCGCTTGAGCCATAGCACCACTTCTGGATTTTTTATTTTCTGCTTATGTGGTGCTGAGGAATCGAACCCAGGGCCTCATGCATGCAAGGCAAGCGCTCTACCACTGAGCCGCCTTCCCAGCCCATGGATCGTAGTTTCTTGAAGCTGTTACAGAATCTACTGGGCCGTGTCTGTCTGGGGTTTCCCCATATAGCACTGATGGGGAAACGGAGGCTCAGAGAACTTGAAGCCCTTTGTAAGCTAGACTGTGTGAGGATCAGATCCACATGAGGAGCTGGAAACTCATGGCTACAAATCTCTAATGGCTCCTCGTCCGCAGAGGCTGAGGAGAGCCTCCATGAAGGAGGCTGGAGGCTAAATCTGTGAGCGGAGGCTGAGG